TTCACTAGATGGCGGTACTTGTAGCTGACGGCATTAAGTATTACGCTAGCCACCGCCCGATCTAAAGGGTACAGCCATATTCATCCGTCCATCCGTCCGTCCATCCATCCATCCATCCATCCATCCATCCATCCATCCATCCATCCATCCATCCATCCATCCGTCCGTCCGTCCGTCCGTCCGTCCATCCATCCATCCATCCATCCATCCATCCATCCAAAAGATGCAAGATGTTATAAACTAGACGGCGGTACGTGTAGTTGATTATGAAAGATGCGAGGTGTTATAAAATAGGAATGATGCCACATATGGCGCGTGTCATCGTTCGATATAGTGCGGCGACGTACGCTAGGGGGAGCGTTGCAATAAAATCGAGTGGGCGAAATGTACGGAGGATTCATGGTTTACCAGGTTTACCTCCGGAGCTTCGCCCACTCATCATCATTCACTTCGTGGATATGCTGTGATTTTTTTTCTCGGACGTTAGAAACAATTAAGAAAAAAGCGTGTCAGAATTAACTTTTTTTTCGTTTTGTCTGCAGTAAATGCTTAGCGCCACTATTTCTCGAAGAGCTGCTTCAGACAACTGTCTCATTCGGAGCGGGAAGCTCGGCTGTAAAAACGAACCTGTCTTCGTTACAGTGGCCAGGACGTGTGAGGCCTGCTTTACGCATCGAGCGTGTGTTGTAAAGATATAACTGCAGGCGTCTTTGTATAGCCACCAGCTTTCTCCTTGAAAAAAAGAAAGAAAAGCCGACGTTGTAAATTTTTTTCGCAGCCTCGGACTTCCGTTTCACGTACTACGGTCGCTGCAAAACAACAGGTGAATGTTTTCTCCACCTGGGGCTGCGCGTAACTGAGACGGCCAAGGCCGCTCGTGTACCAAGTCCCGGACGTTTATTTTATTTATTTTTTATTTATCACATACTGCGGACCAAGTATGGTCCATGCAGGAGAGAGCAATACAGTTCAAAATTCTTCTACATACATACACTTCCGCTGCAGTATACATTCACTGCAGAACAAAATTAATGTACATTAAAAATTCGTGAAAAACAAGGGACAAATACAGGCAAAGAAGCAGACTTAAGCGACAAGAAAAGGGAATAGTTTCATCTCGGCGTGTCGAGCATAGGGGAATCATGGGGCAGAGCATTCCAATCAGAGACAGTTCTCGGGAAAAAATTAATACTTGTAAATGTTAGTGCGTGCAAATATAGGCGTAATGCTACGACTATGTTTATGACGTGAAGACCTGGTTGTGTCCTGTGTTATGTAATCTGGTGCATGCAATCCTGATCTGGAAAAGTATAAAAGGCGGAAAAAGTTAAGCCGTGCAGTTTTCCTTCGATCGGCCAAAAGTTGGAGGTTCGCATCCTGCAACAGGGCTGACGGCGAATCGCGACACGTTAGTGAAAAGATTATTTGCGTGCAGCGGTGTTTTGCAAATCGTTGTTCTTTTCGTCAGGCAGCCAGACCCGGAACTGTCTCCGCTTCGTTAAGAAAGTCAAGTTGAAGGCTATACCTTCTCGCTTATGTGCCGAGTTCTACAATGAAGATGTGGAAAGCTTGCGCCTTTATTCTGCAGAATGAATTGCATTGGTCTGCTTTTGAAACCAGTGCGCATAGGTTGTCCTTTGTGATAAAGTATGTACGCCTATTTGTTTTCGCCTTTTTTTTATTGCGTATTCAGTATTGCTATACGAACGTCTGCGTTCATTGTACATGCAACCTTATGTTTTCTTGGTCCGCGGAGGTCACCGACCGTCTCTCTTTCGCTACATGCGTAGGCTATTCTGTAAACTATCGCGCGTACGCAGGCCTCCAGTTGTTGGTCAGTTTGAATTTTATGTCGCTTCTCTTCACATTCCGTTGTAGGTCGATGTAGCATACTGGATGCAGTTTTCCTTAGCCACCTTCTCTCAACCGATTTCTGCAGTACGAAGCGACGACTTTTCACAAAAAACGGCGCATTTTTAATTGGATAGTTGCTTGGTGTATTGCATAACTGATTTTTTTTTATTCTCTTTGCGTTATTTAATGAAACTCCGTATGGGCTTCACAGTCTCATTGAACCCTCGGCACGTTGTTTCCTAGCCTACAACTATTCCTATACACTTTCAAAGAAAAAGGATGTTTTTGAAGAAGGTAGCGTGATGTACAAACCTGTACCGGTGAACTAAATCCCACGGTTCGTACGGAAATAAAAGGGCCTGATCTTCGCACAAGAAAGCCTTTGAACGTGCCTTAGATTTCGGACAGGTTAGCAGCCCTCCTCTCCTCATCGTCCTCTTAGGCATCTATGGCGTGCATCTAGCGCACACGCGCTAAAAGCAGCGCGTTCTCCGGCCGCAGAGGCAAGACAGTCGGCCGTGGGGAGGGGGGGGGGGGGGCAGTTTTTTTTTTTCAAAGCTGCCGAACACAAACCTTAACGATATAACCGTGGCACAAGCATCGACCCGCGTCGCAGCCACGTTCGTTTTCCCGCGTTTGATGGAGAGCTTTGGTTCGAGAGTGTGACACGCACGCAGAGAGCAGCGGATGGCATAACCGGTCGTCCCCCCCCCCCCTTCCCCGTTTGTTCGCTCTTATATCGCGAATCCAGCGCCTGCATCTCAGTGCGACTTGCGCCTAGCGCTGTTGCCTGCAGTGCGGAACGCGCCCTCCTTTGTGCGATCAAAAGAAAATAGAATACTGTCAAAAGAGATCAGGTCCTTGAGTGTTCTCGCGCGCATTTCACGCAGAGCGCTCCTACGGCGATGTTTCGAATATGCACGGCGTGCTAAAAATCATGAAATGATAGTATACGAGATACAAGAGGCTCCACCGAACGAGTGGCGGCAATGGTGTTGATTGTGGTGGTGGGGGTGGGCTACTTTTGTTTTTTAGGGGCGATGCTCCTTAAGCCGTGGGTCGTTCCCTCCTCTGTAGCCTCCATCCGTGAGTCGTCCGTCCGTCCGTGAGTCTGTCCGTCCGTGCGTCCGTCCGTCTATGCTTCCGTACGAGCTTCCATCCGTCCGTGCCTCTGTCCGTCCGGACGGACGGACGCTTCGCCCCACTCGTCATCGTTCACTCCGTGAATATGATGTCTTTTATGTTTGTTTTTTCGCCAGCCTCTACGACAAAAGGGCTTGTTTCGAAAAGAACACCAAAGCGGAGCAACCGTGACCGATGCCGCCGGTGTGTTTAGGTCACGTTTCGCGCCGTCTCTGTTGCCGCGTTCATCTCTCCTTCTCGTCGGACTTGAAAGAGAGAAGGCATCCACACCATGCTTGATGCTGTCTGAGCGTACGTGTATGTATGCGTGGGCGGTGAAGAAGGTCGGGATATACGATCTGCGAACAGACGGAAGGGTCATCACAGTCGGGGTCGGGTCACGCCGCGAATGCTTGACCTGCGGCAGCCGCTTGGAACGCAACCCCTGCTCTGGGTTCCTTTTTTCTCTAATGTCTGATGCAAGTTTCGTTGCTCGACTTCTCTTCCCTTTTCTTTAACTTTACTTTTCGGGGCCTCTGCGCCGATTTGAGTCGCCCTGTTTGCAATTTGCACCACCTGTTTGAGGAGAAATATGTTGGCCTTTCCAGAAGAACAGAGAGCTGCATTCGAAGAGAACGTGAAGAAAAAGGTGGGGGAGCTAGGCGGCGGTCGGATTGGGAATAACAGTCGTCGCTAATCTGCTGCGAGATCATTTACGGTCGAATAGGCTAGTGTCCGTGTCACGTTGTTTTTATTGCGCTCTTTTAAGTACTGAGGGAACGAAATTAAGGCAAGAGTGCGCCGGCGTATAGTGAATATGCGAATTCGTTGTATGAGTACATGTAATGTCATTTTTATGAACGGAAAAGTTGGTGCAGCTCTTTTTCCCTTCGATTTGCGACGTTTCGATATGGACCAAGTTTATGAATTCGGGTGTGCATCAAATAATAATGAATAGCTATTTCAGGTATGGTTGATCAGAATGATCGATTGTCTTATAGGGGAACTGCGTATTACTGCTATCTTCTTAGATTCGGTTGCCATTGTGATTGAGACTTGAAACTGCTGCGTCAGGTTATACACGGGTCTCGGGTTGAGCTTTTCAGTGCGGTTACATTAATAGAAAGAGTGCGAAAAGACGACGAGACATGGGCGATCAGACGCGGCCAGGCGCTGGTCCTGTCTGTCCTTCTTGTCTCGCCGCTTTTTCCCGCGCCGTTTCCAGCCTATTTCAAACTGCAGGAACTTCGAACATACATGACTAATGGTAATTCACGCCGAGGGCACTGCGGGCAGTTCTGTTGCGGCATTGTTATGTGCATTCAATGGTGGGTCTTGCGATGATGTCCAATGGTTGCCGCGTTAAAAGGAAGTTATCCTCCCTGCCCGCGATTTTCGATAAACACAGCACTTCTTTGGAGCGCAAGCTTCTCTTTTCGAGGAAAGATGCCGCTGCAGTGATAAAACGGCCGCGACGAGATTGTCTTGTTTTCCGCCGGTACGCCGAGTGGTGGCGATTGGTCGGGGGCCCCCGTTTCGGCTTTGAACAGTATTTCCTTCCGCCGTCGCGTCACTTTCTCGAGAGGGGCCGCAGCTGCTGCTGGCTCGTTGAGACTGCTTCGAGAAAGGACGCCTTCGAGGAGTGCGTGCTCACCTAAGACTGCGATTAGATAAGACGCCGTTATCTCGCGCAGAGCGCTGCTCGGCGAGCACCTTTCCGCGCGGCTGGTGCCGGCGGAGTTTCGCGCATCAGACTACACACCGACCGCGCGTTTAGCTGCACTGCGGGCGGCTCGTTGCCGTACTGGATCGGAGCGCCGCTTTTCTCTCGAGCGGGTGCAAAGTGCAGTCGGAGCGACGCGTTCAACACACACGCAGACACGTAACGTAAGACGCCGCGCAGAGAAGTCCTCTCGCGCAGCAGTCCAGTCGCTGGTTCGCGAGGCCGCGTTTTTTTTTTCTCTCCGGTGTCTACCGCCGTGTAAACAGTGGTTTCCCCGCGCACCCGCGTGACCGAATTGCAGATGATGACGAGGCGGCGAAGGATTCTGCTGAGCGGCCGACCGAGCGAGCTGGTTCCCTGCTTCGGCCTCCTGGCGCGGAGGCCCTCCAGGTCGTAGTACCACCACCCTCCTGGAAGGACCCCGGACCGAGTGCACCGTGCCGCCGGGTCCTGGAACTCAGGCGCATCCCGAAGCTTTATGAAGCGGAGCAGACGTAGTGATAACGTGCCGCCTGTGTGACTCGGAAGGCGCGACGTCTGCTACGGGTACTGATTGTATACTGCCGAGAAGGAACAGTCATCCGTGAGTGAATCGCGGCCGTTTTATTGTGCGCAATTTAAAAGCGTACTACTGCTACACGACAGCCCGCAGAAGCAGGCTGTCAAAACAGTTCCTGTTGTGAGAAAGAAAAGACTGCTGCTCGCCGAAGGTGATGTGGACGGTCGGCGACGTCCAGGCGCAATGACCGTGAGGACTCAGCTCGTCGTGGTCTTTCTTCTAGTCAGTTTCGGACTCCTGGTGGCTGCTGGTCAGTCCAAAAAGAATGGTCAGGTCAAGAAAGGGAAAAGTACGTATTACAGACCTTGGTGACATTTTTTTTTTTAACTTTTCCTTCGCCGAAGTTTATGCAGTACGTATAGCTCTGTGGTTCGCACAGTTGCGTTGCACATTCGTGTGCCTCGAGTGTGTGTGTTTTTTTTTTTTGAAGTGAGTATCTCTGTTTGTTGAATGTATAAGAAACTCGGCGACATTATTCGAGCACAGTGCACTGAGCTGAATGATCCTTCTAGAAGACTTCAGTTGTGTTTTCCTGTTTAGAAATGTGACGTACTTGTTTGTCGTCATCGCGCTGATGTCTTCATTTTCTAATGTGCATTACATTTAAGGCAATGCTTGATTTCGCTTGTTTTCGCTGCGCAGTCTGCATCGGCACAAATGGCCGAATGTCGGTCCCATCGAACCGAGAGCATCACTACCAGAACCTCAGGGACCGCTACACAAATTGTACATACGTGGACGGGAACCTGGAGTTGACATGGCTACAGGTAAGAGGTCTTCGCAATCTCACTGTCACTTAAACGAGTCCCCGTTTAAGTGATTCAACTCCAATGAGGAGGAACGTAAGCGTATTCATCCACGTTCTTGCGGTCTTCGCCACACTTCAGAATGTTTGCATCTTGGTAGTGTATGATGTTTTGGGTGCCAAAAACCACGATATGAGTATGAGGCACGCTGTAGTGGGAGACTCCGTATTAGTTTGGAACGCCAGGGGTGATTCCTTGTCTGACGCGCACCGAAACGTAAGCACGCGTGTGTTCTTACATTTCGCTCCTATCGATAAGTGGCTGCTATGGGCCCGCGAATTGATCTTGTGTCCACAAAGCGAGATATTTTTTTTTCTCTCGCCTCGCAGAACAAGAGCCTGGACCTGAGCTTCCTTCGAGACATCCGCGAGGTGACGGGCTACGTGCTCATATCGCACGTGGACGTGCAGCGCATCCTGCTGCCGAGCCTGATGATCGTCCGGGGCCGCAGCCTGTTCAAGCTGAACGTGCACGACGAGGAGTTCGCGCTCATCGTGACGCTCTCGAAGATGGAGAACCTCGAGCTGCCGGCGCTGCGCGACATCCTGCGCGGCAACGTGGGCTTCTTCAACAACTACAACCTCTGCCACGTGCGCCACATCCAGTGGGACGAGATCCTGTCCGGCCCGCCGGCGCACATGGTCTACGTGTACAACTTCACGCAGCCCGAGCGGAGCTGCCCGCCGTGCGACGCGTCGTGCCGCGGCGGCCACTGCTGGGGCGAAGGGCCGCACAACTGCCAGAAGTTCTCCAAGGTGAACTGCTCGCCGCAGTGCCACCAGGGCCGCTGCTTCGGGCCGGAGCCGCGCGAGTGCTGCCACCTGTTCTGCGCCGGCGGCTGCGTGGGGCCCAAGCAGAGCGACTGCCTGGCCTGCCAGAACTTCTACGACGACGGCGTGTGCAAGCAGGAGTGCCCGCCCATGATGCGCTACAACCCGAACACTTACTCGTGGGACTACAACCCGGACGGCAAGTTCGCCTACGGCGCCACCTGCGTCAAGGACTGTCCCGAGCACCTGCTGCGCGACAACGGCGCCTGCGTGCGCAACTGCCCGCCCAACAAGAAGGCGCAGCAGGGCGAGTGCGTGCCCTGCGACGGACCTTGTCCAAAGAGTGAGTCGGCACTTAGGTTCTACTGAGAAACCACAAGCATTCCTTCGCATGTCATCTGAAGTGCTCAATTTGTGCTCCTAAGTTTGCGTGAGTCGTGTTAGCGGCATTTTCGCATTTGATGGGCGGTCGAGTGCGACGGTAGCGTATATATAGGCAGAGTGAGTATGGCTTTTGTAAGAAATGTGCCTTTCCCACATCGCTCGGTGCATTTACGCAGACTGTGGGGTGCAGCTACAATGATACCGTCTTGATAGCAGAGAGAGATATCGCATCATTGAAAACGTATTATCTAAGATGAATACCTTTCCTTCGACACCGAGGCATTCAGTGTCCTCTGTTTTCACTGCACGCGCTTGCGATTACGTTAGGACTGGAACAGAAAATGTGCATCTCATCTTAACAGGCGCTAATTTGGGAACTAACAAAGAAGCAAGAGACACGTTAACAAGATGAACCGTCTCTTTCTTTTGTCTTTGTACCTTTGCGCATGCTAAGATGCATAAGTTTATACCACCAACTAGCCTAAATTTATGTGTTGAATAGGCTGGAACAGCGCGTGCACTATTTAACATCTTCATGTTTCGGCGCTCGTCTTATAAAGGACTACAGAGCTATTTGTTAAACTGCATCGTTTTTAACGAAGTTTCGTTGCTTTGAACAAAGTTTTTCCACTCTGTTTTTTACGTCTATACATGCCCCTATGCAGTTGTGGTGCGTGTGGTTGGCAACTGAGACCTGCTAGAACATGATAGTTATATTATATAAATGCAAGCCCGCCGTTTACAAAAAGGTTTGCGCGGAGAGCAGTGCGTGATGGGCGAATTTTTCGCGTTTCTTTTTGCAGATTGCCAAGGGGTAAGCGTCGTCAACTCAATCAACATCGAGGACTTCCGAGGCTGCACTATAATCGAAGGTTCCCTTACCATCCTGGACTCCACATTCAACGGCTTTCAGGAAGTTTACGCTGAGTACGTGTTTCTTTCTCCTTTGCTTCCCTGTACAGAAACGTGTTTTTTTTAATAGGCCCCATGCTTATGATGTATTTTCATATAGAGTTGTGTGTAATCATGTACTCGATATAGGAAAAATCAAGACCCGTTTTCGAACTTCTTTTTTTCCTCGCAGTTTCTCATTCGGTCCGCGCTATGACAAGATGGACCCGAGCAAATTGGAAGTGTTCAGCACGCTCAAGGAAGTCACCGGCTACGTCAACATCCAGGCTTCGCACCCAAACTTCACCTCGCTGTCTTACTTTCGGAACCTTGAGGTCATCGGGGGTCGGACGCTGACAGAGTAAGATTTCGTTTCCGCTTTCTTAGTGATTCCTTACGAAAAGTGCCGAAAAAAAAAATGCAGCGTTGCGTTAGCATTATGTGATATTGAAGACATTATACATTTGTACTGTGAGCCTGAATCGTCCTATTCTCGTGAACTGTGCCTGCCAAATTGATTGTAGTTGTATTGCTTCGCTTGCATCATTCATTAGACTGTGGCCAGTTAGCAATTTTTTATTAAGTGAAAGGCAAACGATACCACTGTGCGGTAACAGGTATCTTGGAATGATAGCATCCATGTATGGTACTTGCAGTCTTCTCAGCACACTTAGCAGTTTCTACTTAGCCACTTCGGCTTACCATAGTGATATACTTCTGGAAGGTAGTTCCACAGATGTCTGTTGATATGACGTTTTCAACTCCAAGAACCTCATTTTTTATGTTACGAGTCAGCTGGTAGGGAACTAGGTGCTCTTCAAGGGCTGCAGCCAAGTGCACGATGTTCGTAACTGTAGGCATCGTCTGCCTGGAGTTCGTATGTTTGTGAAACTGGTTTCGCCTCTCCCTTCTCCTTTCTGTAGCGGCATCCACGGTCACTTAGTTTCCCACCTCACACACGAGTCCAAGGGGCACGACAGGTAATGCTACGGCGGCCACTTTGCAATGCTGCATGTGCAACGTTGGCCTATCCGTTCATGTGGCCCGATTGTCGCAGTGTTCTCCGCTGCTACGTTTAGCGTCTTTGAAGGTGTCGTCACTGTCGCCATGTTTGTCCGCAGTAGTGCGAACCGTGTGCATGAGGGGGGCAGGGGGAGCGCCCCCCTCCCCGCCCCCTCCATTCACCCATGAAAAAAAGGGGATGCAAACTTTGCCCCGCACATTGGAGCCCTTTAGTCTGTCCGTTGCACCGTTACACGCAATACGGCCTGCGGATGCTGGTTTACTGGATGTGAACAGCGCATGTGCGGGCTTCACGGGTGTTTACCAGACACGCTTTTTAAAACGCCCAGATCCCCATATGTGATCCCGTTACTCCAAAGCTTGCCATTACCGGCTACTCCTGAAGAGCAGAGTCCAGAAAAACTAAAGAAAAAAGAGAGGGGGGGCTATATATATATATATATATATATAGTGTTTTTACGCTCGTAATTTGCGCTCCCCGAGCCAGCCTGCCAGCGCGCGCACCTTTGGACCTTTCGATGCTTCGGCCAGGTGCGCGCCTCGCCAAGTACACGAGCGCAGTCAAACAGGCAACAGGCTGCGAGTGTGGAGTCCCTTCTTCGAGGACTTCCCCCTAACTAGGTCCCTAGAATACCGCACCCGAACACAAGCCTGTTGACGGGTCTTCGGAACTGCTGGTTATGGCGAGAATGCACGCTCGCGTCACGGCACAAACGACTCTGCGAGAGCCCGTCGCGCCAACTGTTCCTCTCGTTCTCTGTGTCAGCGTTGCAACGCACGCTTGGTCGATTTCGGAAGTTTAGGTTTCGCCATCCAGCCGACGCGTTTTGGCGGTTCTGTTGCGATGTGCTCCAGGAATTGTATATACGGCAAAATTAAAGCTCGCTGTGGTCTCGCCGAAGAAAACGGGAAGCGTGCCGCCGCAAAACACTTCAAGGAGACGTACTTCAACGGGACGACTGGCGAGATTGGTTCGCGAGAAAGCAGAAGAGTGCGCGCTTGCTAATGCAAGTTTCCTGCCAATGAAGGAGACCTTTTCAATTATCTGCGGATGCTTAGTTCTTCCAATATCACTGTGTCATGGGACGTAGCTTCTCCCAGCATTGTCGAAGGAGCTTCAAGAAAATGGAGCGTTCGAACGCGCGTGACGGAACCGAGGACGAGTCGCTTCAAGGGAGGGGGGTGGGGTGGCGGCCGCGATGATGATTCCCAATCGGACTTCGCGATCAGTGTCCCGCTAGAACACGCGTGACTGGATATGACTGGGTAAAGTTCGTGCTAATTCTTTCAAAATTAACAAGTACACTTCGTTTGTGCTCCAAATTATTTCCTTTTTAACTGTATATACTGCGCGCGTTAGGACTGTGACACAATATTTCATATGCGCTCGCGAAAACACCGCGTAATTTGCGCACGCCTTTCTCAGCTCCCCAAAAATGTGAAAAAAGGTGCTCAAATTATGCGAGTAAATGCGGTATTGTGTTAGGCAGTAAATGCGAGGAATTTTTACTTTGCGCATACCAGGCACGGCTAAAGCCCCTTGAAGATTTAGTGGCTTTAGATACGCTTGCGGGCGTGTTTTTCTTTTTTTTTTTTGGTGGTATATGCTAAAAGCTTGCTCCAATGATATCCGATGTAACACTCTCCTGCTCTATGCAAAGGGGTGCCGGACAGACTAAAATAATCGATAAACTGTTGCTAGGGAAAAGGCGCTAAGATACCCCCCACCCCTTAAAGAAAAACCTGTGCGCGCCTATGCCTATCGTGCATGTTATCGTATTACTGCTCAAACACTGCTGGTGCTGTCTTTGCCTTAGTATGGGCTTTTGGTTCACCGTTCGCTTTAGCAGTGTGCTTAGTGTTTTATAAAATTGTTAATTTCTTTGTTACTGAATTTCTGCTGTTCGCCACCTGTTTATATATATTTTCCATGCAGTTTAGCTAAGCACACTAATGAGCTTCGCACTTAGTGAGGTATAGGTCTGTTGTTTTGTTGCTTCGACCTCGTCAGGTGAGAGCATTCCTGGCCAGTGGTGTTGTCCTGACGCTGCACTAACAATGCTTGTTTCATCGTGTCTGCAGTGGTTCATCGTGCAAAATCTTACGCACCTCTGAAAATGAATGTCTCGAAATAATAAAATACTAGCTCCTCATAAACCGAAGGGCCATAAGTCCAGCTGAAGCTACCTATTGAAGCCGCAGACAACAGAGCAGGTTTAATCATCATTTGCGGCATTTCAGCGAACAAGTACTGCGAGAAATAAAAAGAAATAGATGCAGCGTAGCCACTGTACTTATCATATAGCGTTGGTGGAATCGGCGGCTGTTGAAACTCTTCACACTGACGACGTTTGGTGTGTGTGCTGCTTTCTCCCGTGCGTGCCTCAGGTATTTCGCCGCCTTATACATCGTGAAGAGTTCGCTGAAGTCCCTCAACCTACGAAGCCTGAAGAAGATCCGCTCGGGCAGTATCGCCATCCTGGAGAACAAGGATTTGTGCTTTGCCGACAGTGTCGACTGGTACCAGGTCATGAAGTCCAGCGCCCACAACGTGCTGCTTCAGCGGAACGCAGACAAGGCCGACTGCGGTGAGTCCCAAATATGTGTACACTGAAGCCTCTCAGTGGCGCCAAAAACCTAAGCGGAAAATGGACACCGAACATTCTTGGCGCAGAGCTACTGTTCACAAAGGAGTTTCTTTTCTAATGCATAGCTTCGCACTACGGCTATTGGAAAACTCCCTCATAGGGAGCCTTCAAATAGGGGCCCCAAGAAATAGTGTCGAGGCTGCTGTGCATGCGTAATAACTCTAACCACTATTAGCATTTGTGGTCTGCTCGCAAAAAAAAAAAAGCGAAATAGCGTGCGACCTTGCAAAGCCCCTTTGCGGTGACTCGAGCATGTGTCAGCGTTTGTAGGGGACAAACACTAGGGAATTTTAGAATAAAGCAACGCAAGCCCTTGCGGTGTGGTCGCTGTCACTGCGGTTCGCTCTTGTGGTCGGCCCACAGGAAATTCGAAATAGCGTGCGGCGTGTGCAGTCCCCCAAGGCCCGCAAAGCACTGGTGTTGAGGAAAACGCTATCCTAAAGCTCGTATAGCACCCGCAACACCAGATAACACTGTTCTAAAACTCCCTGCTATTCGCAAACTCGTGTGGTGCCCATACACAAATGCTACGCCCGCCAACTTAGCGTATGCTATGACAAAAACGAACATTATTACTACCAGCCTGACAGCGCGATGTTGCTGATCTTCCGGGCATGGTTTGAAACATAAACATTATTCGCTGCGCAAGTTTTGACATGCAGAAGGGACCGCAACAGTTGTGGATCGGAAACTGATGTCTATAAATATTGGTGGCATTCGCAACTACACTCGTGCCATACACGCCCTATTTTTACTGTATATGATCGAAATATGGCACAAATTAGTCTTAGCTGCAGATAAGGCTCAGGCTGCAGATTAGCTAAGCTGTCTGTTCGATGCCATGCTGTAGTTCTTGTATTGGTCAGCGTTATGCACCTTAGTATATGGGTTGCTTGATTTCATTGTACAAAGCATAGAGCTAATGGTTTTAATGTCCTGCAAAATAATCACACTGGACAAGTGATACCCCGAAAAAACTTAATTGTTTAATCAGGTAGTCTTTCAATAGCACAGAAATCTGCAAAGCTTTTGCTACTTTTGAAATTACATTGAACAGTAACGAAATTATGTGGTACTAGGGAACCTGGAAAAGCTTATACCAAGGTCTGGTTATGCTTAAAAAAAAAAGTAATGACAATCACAAATGACAATGCTCCATTTTGTGCAATGTATGCTAGATATCACATTTTTCAGTTCTCTGCTGTCTTCTGTTTAAAGGCTGTGCCTCACCTATTGTAAATAGCAAAAAAAATCATTCACACGCTGTCACAGTTCTTCATATCTTTTCATTATTTACACTCTTCAACAAAATTACATACATAATGCTCATTGTATAAATTGGTTGATTCCTTAAAGCTCATAAAATGTGAAGGTTTCATTTGAAAAGTGTCAGCTTTGCAATCACTAGGATGATGTTTATTTTTACTCTGTGTATTTTCATTTTGTAGCTGTTGCAAATATCTATGCTCTTGAGTATTTCAGGAGGAAAAAAAAACGTTTAGTGCAATTTGCAGCAGCTTTGATGCTTCTTTATCACTCTCTTTGCAGAGGCACAAAAGCTTGTATGTCACCCCCAGTGCTCCTCAAGTGGTTGTTGGGGCCCAGCACCAAATGAGTGCCTTTCGTGTAAATCATACCGGCTGGATGACACCTGCATTGATAAGTGTGACACGTCCAAAGGGTAAGGAGCCGTAAATTTTTTTTATGCCATTGTAAAACCTCAATCAAAAGATTGTTTCACAGAAACTGTAGGAGACCCGTACTTGTAAATCATTAACTCTGAATGCATTAGGTGATGTATAGTCTTATTACAGGAAGAGGGGGTTTCAAGGTGGCTGCCATTTATGCATTGTTGTGGAAGTGCGTTAGTGTTGTCTCACTCACACTATAAGTGGGCCGTAACTAGGGGGTAGATGGAGGGTTCTGACACTCGTGACATTTTCTCGTGCTTCAACTTTTCGGGGGATTACTGAACTATCTTCACACCAAAGGCCAGTTGGCAAAGTTAGCTGTTCCTACGCACTAACTCCCCCCCTTCCCCCCAAAAAAATCCTGGATGAGACCCTGACGGTACACCTAGTAGTATAGAAGTAAATAGTGATCGCTGTGTAGTTTGTCTAATTTAGCCCTATTCAAGTTGAAAGGTGCGTTTACTTTAGCTATGCTTCTACTATAGTAGCTAATAGCTTCAAGATATTATTGAATTTGTCCTAATGCAGCAATACATTGATAAAAAGTAATGAATTCCCCTTCGTATTTCCCTGCAGCATCTACGATGATGGGAACTTTGTGTGCAAGCACTGCCATGAGGAATGTCTTGGCGAATGTTCTGGTCCCGTAAGTAACTCCCCGCCCTCCTCTTTTTCTTTTTTTTTATACCTTGCTCTTTGACTGTTGATGCTTCTCAAGGACATCAGATTATTTTCTGTTGTACATGCCCTTTTTCTTCTGACTAAAACTTTTTTGGATGGTGTTCACACAGGTGGATTTTACAGGCACATATATTTTTATATTTGAAAAATTGTCCTTCTTAAAATATTAAAAGATTTTATATTTGAAAAATTGTCCTTCTTAGAATATTAAAAGTGGATGTGGACTAGTGAGAGCATAGAAGCTGTACTTGGTTGAATGCTAACTTTTCTTCTGTTATTACTTGTTTGTAAATTAACAAGCAGCACGAGAATACGCCAAGGCTACGCTTTCAATGCATGGTTTCGGAAAATTCATGAAATGTGGATTGTCTTATTCGTGCTAAATGCTTCTTGCCCTGCTACAACTTTCAAAAATTTGCTTTATTGTTTCAAACGTACATTAACATTCTTTTGTTTTCATAGCTAGTTGTCTTACCTTCTAGTTTAAATTTATGATTAGGGTAAATGTATTACCAGAATGTCTTGAATGCTTCCAGCTTCTTTAATAATAGAAAGAAACCATCACAACAAATGCTCTTTACTTTGTTTTCAGCATTGTTTTGAAGCCTAAATGCATAAGATAAGAATATGTTTCATTGTGTGATAACTCTTTTAATTTTGCTGTGATTTTGATTATGTGAGTTGTCTTAGGTAAAGCATACCTGCCAATTTGTCTGGGAGACCTCAAATTTGGCCTGATTTCTCTATTATACGAATGCTATCTCGAATCTCCCGAAAAGTGGCTGCCACAGCAAACCCTTCCTTTCCCCTTTTTTAATTTAAATTGCGCCTTTTCTGCAGTGACAGTTACGATGCTGTCAAATAGCGCACACTACACTATAGTTCATTGCAACCATACTGTAGAGTACCGCTACATATATTGTAGGGACTGTAGTAGCGCGCTTCTTGAAGAATACGGCGGCCGTGAGACCCACTCACTCTTGTTCGAAAAGGAGGCGAGGGAGAAGGTACCAGAACTTTTGCATCTGTCGGCCTTGGCCCCTGCATTTTGTAAGCTAGGCCTATGTCAGTTGCGTAGGTGTCAGTTATGTTTGTTACGTGGTTGTGGGGGTTGCGTGTTTCCCAAAGTTGAAAGGTCAATAATGGTGTCAAAAGCAAGAAGTAGCAGTGCTTGCAAGTGTTTTTGGACTCCTACACAACTGAGTTTTCGTGCTTTGTGACTTCACGGAAAGCTGGCAAGTACGGATTTTGCATCATGTGCATCTGTGATGTTAGTCTTTCGAACAGTGGCAAGACTAACACATCACTTCACAGAAGCATCAAAACTACATTCGGACTGCAAAAGGGCAGGACAACATCGGAAGTTCCTTGAAAAAGAGCTACAAAAACTGTGCGATACATGCAGAGTGCCTATTCATGGGATTTCTTGAACACTACTTGCCGCTAAGCGTAAAGGACCCTTGCTTGGGGAAATGTTCCTAAAAGGTGAAGATGCAAGGCATGTTTTGGTGCAGGCTTGTGAAAACTGCTGTCGTCAGAGAAATAGCTGCAGATGTCGATACACAATGGTGGAGGCCCTGAAAGCCCTCCTTTCGCAATAACAGTGTACAGAAGATACAACAGCGTGCCACAAATGTCTCAGTCTCAGCGATTTGCCTTATGAAAAAAAAAAAAAGCCATTCTCCCTCCCCTTTTTGCTGCAGTTTCTTGAATTTTCATGCTACTAGGTTGGCAGGTATGCTAAAGTGATTCTCGAAGTAATAACTCTTTTTTGGTTTTATTCCAACAGGGAGCTGGCAATTGCAGCCAATGTCGACATGTTCGTGATGGACCTTACTGTGTCAAGGAGTGCCCTGAATCAAAGTACAATCAGTCAGGCTTCTGTATGCCCTGCCATGAGAACTGTGTTGGAGGGTGAGTACTTTGGTATCAAAGTGTAGTCATGTCGTCAATGTAGACAAAGTTGTCCTGTACATTTGTGAGCAGGGTGTTCACAGAATGGCATGTACAGTTACGGCTGCTGCGTCCGAAAAAAATTGTATTTCATTATGCACCATATTACTATTCTCAATGCTTTCCTGTATAGCAGTTTTTATCTCGGCCACTGTACTGTATTGAGCATGTTGAATTGAATCCAGAATTTGCAAACTGGCTTTTACACAATCGCAGAATTTTCATACAATTGCTTGCTTTTATACAGTCATCTTTATTTGTTTTTAAAATCAGACATTTGTGAATTGTAGCACCAATCACTCATATACTGTTATTTATGCCTTGTTCATCAGATGCACTGGACCAAACAACACTGTCGGACCTGATGCCTGCAATTCCTGTGAGAAGGCAATCGTCAGTGCTTACGACCCAAATGTTGTGGTAAGTTCTGCTCTAATTAAAAACAGATAAACATTGTGTCGAAAACTGGAACTAAGGTGATTTGTCCCCAATGTCTAACACCCACCAACATTGAAAATTTTAGGAGCAGTGCCTGAAAGCGGATGAGGCCTGTCCGGACGGATTCTACCACGAATACTTCGGTCCACAGGAGGAGGGAGCTCTGAAGTCCTTGACGGGAAAATCGGTACTTTTGAGTGCTGTTTTTATGATACTACATTGAGCTATTGTGTACCATGTGCTCATGTTTTTTGCTATCAGGTACTTGTACTAGTTAAGTTGTACTAGTTAAGTTGATGTGCTTTGCGTGGTGTGATAAAAACGTACTACAGTGAACTCTCACTTGCATGAGCTTCAAGGAAACCAAGGAAATAGTTCACTGAAAGTTCACAAAACTGAATAATCACTAAAATACGAAACAGCACTGGGAACAGCAAGTAAAAAGTGTGAAATACAATTTATTTTGAAAAGAATTCTATAATTTTCATTTGGACTAGTCTACATTTTTGTGTGCTGCCTCTGGCACAACTTGTTGCTGTGAGATGGAGTCTCTCAACCTCAAATATATCCTACACACTCTGCTAAAGATACAAGATTTGAACCTGCCGCAGTCATGACAGTCAATCCCGGATATATTAAACTCGAAGGGGATCACGAAATAGTTTGATACATGAATAATTTGGAATAAAAACTATGCATACTTAAGGCCTAAATTGAAGCATTTCAGGCCTCGGGAATTGTTACAAGGGCTAACATAACAATTTGCTCACAGTATAATAAAGAACAAGGTGTAAACTGTAAGTTACCACACTTTACTGCGAATGAAGACAGTCCGTAAACTTGTCTTTGTGCGTCGTCAAGTTGCAGTCATCCTCAATATCGTGGAAGCGTTTCAAGTAAGCGTATTCAGCTCCTTCGACCACAACAGTGTTGATTAATGCAGAACACCGATGCAAGCTTTGTAGCACGGCAAAAGGTTGGTTAGGGGTGGGAGCGAAGCTGTTGGGATATTCATAACCATACGGGTACACTTCCGTGGTAACGGCAGCCATGATTTTATCATCGATGCAGTCATAAACAGCTACTTCGTCATTTGTACCAATGAAATCACTGTCCGAGAAGGTGCCCGCAAACGCTGATAAGTTGCAGTAAGGATACATGCCATTCATAATGATGCTGAGCTTGTCCAACTTCCCCTTCTAGCAACCTTGCTGAGAATACATGCAATTTTATTATTGCGCATCAGTTTTATTTTACCCTTCATTGTTTCCAGGTCTGCCGCAAGTGCCACCAGCGTTGCAAGAACTGCACCTCTTATTCCATCCACGTTTCGGTCTGCGAGTGCCTGCACTACAGCAGTGGAGAGCAGTGTGAAGATCGTTGCCAAAGAGACCACTTTCCCGACGAGGCCAACCGGCGGTGCCTGCGGTGTCATGATGAGTGTCGAGGCTGCTATGGACCCACGGCAGCCCATTGCACCAATTGCCGCAACTTCCGCATCTATGACTCTGAAAACCGCACTCAGGTGAGTGTTAAAATTAGCTTGAAAAGTTCATCTTTCAGAAACAATTGCCTTATATTTATGGCACTAAGTTCCTGGGTCTTTGTATTGATTTTGTAATTTTGAGGAATACAATTAAAAAGGGTTGCATCAGCATTTGCTCATGCAGTAAACAAGTGTTCCTTATAATCCTGTCATTGTCATGCATTGTGTAGGAGAGGTGTAGGACATTCTATCCAAATGAGCATTTTTTTACAGAAGACTTCCGTGAAGTCGGAAATGCATGTAAAAAGTTTGCCATCATGGATGCGATCACATGTAATGTACATAGGTTTACCAGCCTTCACCAATTTTAATAGTTTCAGTATAATTTTGATTCCTTTTGTAGTGTCTTCCTGAGTAAAAAGGCATGCATAGTAGAGCATCAAACCTTTACTATTTGGCGGTTTTTCTTAAAAGTTTGTTAGTGTATGTTGCACAATTTCTTTTACTTGCATCCTCACACAATAAGCTATTTGAAAGCTAGAGGCTACCAAGTTTTCACAGCACTATTTAGCATTGTTGCCTTTACCAGCCATCAGCCAAAAGCTTTCACCCATTAATTAGTTGCCACCCTTAACTTGATCGGCAAAGTGAGCTGTCGCTGAAGTGCCAGTTTGCGAAAATGTGTTGTTAATAATGCGTGGTGGAAATATATGCACATTGCTGCATTCAGCGAAAGAGTAATAGGTTGGTGCTGTTACATGTGCTGTAGTAGCAACCTTTATTCTTTTCCACTGCAGTTCAACTGCACTGCCACCTGTCCTCCGGAGAAGCCATACAAAGTCTTCGATGACACTACGACTAAGGACCCACACTGCTCCGATGAAGATCCCAACCAGATGGCTCTGCATGGCAGGACGTAAGTGCTTAGCTGTCGGTTCCCTTTAAAATGGTCACTGTAGCCACCATCTTGCATGAAAACTTCTTTTTCATCAGTTTGTGATGACGGTGGTGATAGATAGCACTAGGTGTTACAGTTGGCTGCTTACGATGCTTCAGAGATGGCTTTTACAGACAAGTCTGGGACAAAGGTTCTGAAGAAGGGAAAAAAAAAAGGAAGATGACACACTTTGGAGTGGGAAGGAAAAACCAACAAAAATATTTATTCATTGTCAGTTTATGTTCTTGTTTCAACATCTAGAAAAGACAAGTTGATAGTGTGCACTTTCAGCAGGAGGGGCTCCTGAGCACTAAATAATCATTAAGTATTCTTTAGGAGAGATGTCACCAAGTCACAAGTTTTATGTATGACAATTTAGGTCAACCAGACTTGTAATTTATGCTAGTAAATGTATTTGCTAAGGCAAAAAAGCGCAACACAACAAAAAAATGGGAGGGGTGCTTTTCTATCTTCATTTTCTGTGTCGTGAACCATCACAAGCGAAACTGAGCCAACTAGGCCAGTGTAACATATTTCTGCAACTTTAGTGCTATGTATGCTTGTTTCACCACCTATAAGGGCAGCAGATTCATTTTGAACATTTTCCTCTTTATCTTGCAACCTCAGGGAGGAAGACCACCTTCCTGCAATTCTTGCCAGTGCCGGCGGCTGCATCTTGTTGCTGGGTATTTTCTTGGCCGTTTTCAGCTACCACTGGTTCCAGAGAGCCAAAACCAAGGAGAACACTGTCAAAATGACCATGGTGAGACTGCCACTACATTTGGCACCCTCTCACATTAGTGTACTTTGAAGAAGGCCTACCAAGATGTCCAGCTGAGTGACACTTAAAGAGGTTAAAAGGTGCAAATATATTGAAAAGATATTAAAGTCTCGTCATTTTTTTCATCCAGCAAAGTTCAGCGCAGTGGACTTGAAAAAGAACACGAAAGGTTTCAGTTTTAAGTAAACCTGCTTTGCAGTAAAGAGTTTTGAAAATTTAGCATATTAGCATAAACAAGAACTTACATGTGCAGGCCATAAGGATAACAAGTTTAAACCAGTTTACAGTCGAATGCAAGCAAGTTTTTGGGCTTTCTGTAATTGAAGGTCCTTTGTGTTACACTGAGAAACAAGATGCAAATCTTCCTAACATAAACAAAGCAATTAACAGAAATGAAAGGAATATCCGTACTTATTTTCCAAGTTTTCATTCTTCTCTGGCATCTCTCTGTCTCGCTTTGTTAACTACGCATTGTGCTGTTTCACTCGAAGAAGGAATGCTTTGACCAGCCTCAATTAAGTAAAGCTTTATTGCATTGCTACGTGGGCCTCAAAGAAAGAGGCAGGGCGTGGGTTTTAGGCTTTAAGTTTTCTATTGCTGCGTTACAGAGAGCATTTGCACTGCTAGAGTTATTTTGTGCATCGGTTTCAGTAAAAGCAAGACTCGGGCAAAGGCCATTCATCTCGGGATATACTATAGCCAGCGTGTCCTTTATATTATTATCAATGCCAGCCAGACGTGCCCAATCCAGCCGTTTACCACCCTCTCTTCTAGCCCTCTCCTGCTCTTGCCCATGGCATAGCCCTCACGTGCGCTTTGCAGTCATGCGAGAGAGAACTTCCTCATGTAATGCCTCATGGTAGAAATTATTTGAAGTAATCTTTTGTTCAGTTGTGTACAGATCCGTTGGCGGAGTCTTTCATTCCTAATGTACCAATGTTGGCGGTTGTGCTGGCTCTGTAAGAGACGTGGTATTTTGAGATAACGCATCTAGGTACATTTGTGGCGCTATGCGGGCAACCAATGGGTACGCGTCACTGGCTCTGCCGCATCACAAGCACTGTGCGGTGGCAGCATTGCTTTGAACCACAAAGAAGGACCACGAAGGAACAAATCTGACAGCCGTAAGATTTTGGAGAGGGAAGCACGTTTATCGCTTCTTCGCTGAAAAGCGCTCAGATGCATGGCATCGCGACCACACCAGGAACTGAGGCGGACTGATGGCTCTCGTTGAGAATCACGCCTTTGCACTGGCATTGAATGAAATAAAGGAGGCGTTGCTATAGAATTTCTAAAACAATTAAAGTGTTTACATTCCTTTCTGTCAAAGCTGCATATTGTAATAGTATAAAACTCTTGAAGCATAACAGTGCCAAGATGTTTTGAATTGCTTTTCAGTGAAGTAGTTTTGCATAAGTGTTGAGAAATGTTGCTAGCTTTCTTCTTGTGTAAGTTCTATACTTGCCTGATTGTTTTCTTCTTTCTCTCTTTTTTCTCTCCTTTCTTCTTTCAAGAACTTGTAAGTGGCTTTTCATCCTTTGTGATTGCTGTGCTTTGTCAACAACTATTTTTGGTAGTATTAACTAGCTCTTCTTAATGAGTGTGTGTGCATGCTGAAAGTCGAGTTTAATATTTTGTTTGATGAGAACAATTGTATTATTCATCTTAAAAGATCTTTTTACACATAGGTTACAGTTGTGTATGCTCTTAATTACTCGGCAGCTACGTGAAGGAGCGCCCATGAAGTTTGCATTGTAATTCTGGGCTGAAAGTAGCAATTTTTTTTCACTGTTATATGTATTAGCATCTAGTTAGCAATACTGTGGACATTTATTGTTTGCTACACTGCCATGAAGTTTGCATTGTAATTCTGGGCTGAAAGTAGCAATTTTTTTTCACTGTTATATGTATTAGCATCTAGTTAGCAATACTGTGGACATTTATTGTTTGCTACACTGCCATGAAGTTTGCATCGGAATTCTGGGCTGAAAGTAGCAATTTTTTTGCACTGTTATATGTATGAGCATCTAGTTAGCAATACTGTGGACATTTATTATTTGCTACAGTGCACGACCTCTTATGTTATTAACTCGTGGTGAGACTAACGTGGCTTAACTCTGGGATGTAAAGAGTTTGATAACACGAAATTGTTATTATTTTTTTCAATAGCGGATGAGTGGTTTTGAAGACAATGAGCCTCTGAAGCCAACAGACATCAAACCCAACCTTGCCCAGCTAAGGATTGTGAAGGAAGCCGAACTTCGTAAAGGTGGAATCCTTGGCTATGGAGCCTTTGGTACAGTCTACAAGGTCAGTTTCTGTTCGGGTGTTTTCATTTCTTTCCTGTAAGCATCACCTAGACTTCATATTGAAGTGCTTTCTTTCGCAAAGCATGCCCAAAGCTATAATATCATCCTTTGCTTTTCAGGGTGTTTGGGTGCCTGAGGGGGAAAATGTCAGAATACCTGTTGCCATCAAGGTTCTTCGTGAAGACACGGCACCCAACACGAACAAGGAGTTTTTGGAAGTGAGTACACTTGTTTGTTTTTGTTGCTCAAAGCCCCTTTCTAATGCTTGCGTTGATATAAAACTAACACTGAAGCAACACTGTAGGCAGGTAGTTCCAGGTACCCTACTCCTCTGATTCCTCCCATATATTTCATGACGTCTTATACTTTCTCTGCTGCGACCAGTTGTTTACCCTAAAAGAGTAACAGGGCCAGAATTCACTAAAATGCTCGTTGTTTTGTGGAAGGTTAAAGGGTATTGACACATAACTGCTGGTGTGATGTCTTTTGCTGCCATATGTTGCTAAAGATCTATTGCTCATAACGCGGCACATCACTTGCTGCAGCACATGGCAGGTGTTTGTCTGTTACCGTCTGTCTGTTACTGACAAGTCTCGGTTTTGGTTTGCGGGAGCTTTGAGATCAACAAGCTGCCGTGTGCAACTACTAACACCATCTACTAACACAGAACTGTAATGCACTTCCTTGCTGCTTGCACCACCTGCTCTCATTCTTTCACTTGCAACATGTGCAGCGTGATGTCGTTTCTGTCATAGTCATTATCCTCACCTAGTGGCAAAGACTTTCTTGAGGCTTTGGCATGTTCACAGCTAGCGTGCACCCGTTAGCAGCCACCAAACAAGAACCTGCTGGTGCAAGCACAGAAGAGGTGCAGTGGTGACATCATCATTTAGCTGGCCATCTCGGAGCTCAGCCACAGTGGTGACGTAGCAGAAGTTGAGGTCTCCTTCTGCTACACAAGAGCATACATAATGATGCTTGTGTTGTTCATTTTTTCCTCTGTCTACATTCCTCGCGCAGTTTTTCTTATCATGGACTACCAGCTCACCCAACAGTCTGCCCCTTTCAGGTCGCTTTGTATGATGTCAATGTCGCGATGTCCAGTGTATATTTTGTGATTGGGCATGTGAACTTCAAAATTCATATCAATCACCTTTCGAAGTTGTTTTTGCTGCTTAGATTTGGTAGATGGCATACGCAAGTTCCTGAGAATCGATCCCGCAGGCTGTCACAGCCACTATAGTTTATGTTAGTACCGTTTAAGTGCTCGATTTTCACTGCTGCTGCCTCCCAGTCATGGCTCTGTAGCAGAATTTTAAAATGATATTTTCTTATTTCTCTTTGGCTGACACAATATATGACCTGTAATGATTATTTTAGCGCAAGAGTCTTTTTGAAAAATTGGTTGTAGTCTGAATGTGGCCCCTGCTTGTTTCCCTCTTCAGGAGGCGTACATAATGGCGAGTGTGGACCACCCCAACGTTCTGAAGCTGCTCGCAGTTTGTCTGACATCACAGTTGATGCTGGTCACACAGCTGATGCCTCTTGGCTGCCTGCTCGACTATGTTCGCAACAACCGTGACAAGATTGGCTCCAAGCCACTTGCTGAATTGGTGCACTCAGATTGCACGGGTAAGTTGATGGTAAAGATTGTAATGCAAATAAGTCATGGTGAGGCGTCTTTGGGCTGAAACCTCACATCATTTAATGCATGCGTCTTTAACCATCAGGTAGAACTTACAAGCATTATGGAAACTCATTTTCTTTCTTCTCTCAGTTGATCATTGGATTGTGTTTACTACTTCTAAACACCCATGTTTAATGTATTTGTCTTCACAGGTTTATGTGAATGCTTCATAATCCTATTTCTGCATTACCGTAAGAGAGGAATTCAATGCAAGGTTTTCTTTTTACTCAGACAAAAATTGGGATAGTGCCGAGTTTTCACCTTAGATTTTGCAAGCTTACTTCGTAGACATAGTGGGAGTGTTTCTGAACTTGATGCATGTATCTTGCTTAGGGTATGGCCTACCTGGAGGAGAAGCGTATGGTTCATCGTGACCTCGCCCTGAGAAATGTCTTGCGTAAGTTTGTCTTCAATCTGCTGTTTGAACGAAAACTGCTTGTCCGGCTTTCAGTTCACTTTTTAGTTGAAGTTGGATTCACTGACAGTTTTGTGCTGTCCTTTTCAGTTCAAACACCTGGCTGTGTGAAAATAACCGACTTCGGTTTGGCAAAGCTGCTCGACAACAATGAGTTTGAGTATAAGGCAGCTGGCGGCAAGGTACTTTTGCGTGTTTCCTTAGCTTTTTTTTTATTCTATCTATTGTTTTGCTGTGCCAACTGTTCATAATGTCTTGCCCTCAATTTTATCCTTACTTTGTATACTTCAGATGCCCATCAAATGGCTGGCGTTGGAGTGCATACAACACCGCATCTTCACGCACAAGAGTGATGTCTGGGCATTTGGTAAGCTTTCCTGTGCTTGTACTCGTCAGATTACGTGGCTGTGTGTTGTTTGCAAAGTGCAGTCTGACACTTGAAGTGCCTTTGCAGCCGTTCTCAGAACTGACACAATGCTGCAAAAGACATTGGTAACCGGATGCTGTTGAAGTGCACAGTATGTGCTACATTCAGTCTGGCTGCATTTTTTTTTTTGCAAAGGACTAGTTTGTTTGTAGTGTAACACTGTATACATACCTCATAACTACATGGTGGTCAATGATTGAAGCCTGTGGGCTCCTTACCTCCCTGCCTAGAGAGATGCTACCACCTGTGGTAGTAAACTAGAGAGTAACCTTTGCTGTTTCATCACAGGTGTGACTGTTTGGGAGCTTCTCACGTACGGCATGCGACCCTATGAAAATGTCTCTGCACGAGATGTGCCCGATCTGCTTGAGAAGGGAGAGAGGCTCAACCAGCCATCGAATTTGCACCATCGATGTCTACATGATCATGATCAAGTGTAAGTGTAGAATTACTTTGCGGCTTCATGTATCCGTCAACTGTTCACATTTCATTGAAACGATGAACTATTATTTTATCTGCGGGAATGTATTGGTTCTCTTCAACATCATATAGGTACTTACATCTAATTGGTGTTATATTATGAGAAATCTTCTGACTTTACCGTGGGCCTAGTTTGCTAGTTACAGTGACTGGCAACTGATTTTTCTCAAACCAGTTTCTTTTGGTGCAACAAAAAGCTCCTCGTTGGTAGTGGTTAAAGCTGCAGCGGTTCATTTCGAAAGTGCTTGGATATTACCATTAGCAAAATTTTTGCATCTGAGAAGGCGCTAAAAAGAAGTAAGAGTCCTCTCTCCAGAAATGCTAAGTGGTAGCAATCCTGATAGCCCTCCTAAACTGTTCGGCATGCTCAATGTTCTACTTTCACTGGAGTGAGTGCAGCACAGTGGTCAACCACTTTAATTTTGCATTTTCAATCATTTTTTAATATAAAAAGCTGGTAGAATGAGTTATCTGAAAGTTTGTCATCACATGAAATTCCTTTACCGCCTCTCAAGCCAGGCACTTCTGGTACTTCTCCAACTCATCTACAAGTGCTGCTAGTCTAGCCACTCAGCTAACAACATTAGTGTTGCTCATGGCGTGTGTGATTATCTACATCAAAGCACGTCCACTATTGACAGTTGCCAGAGCTACACGTCGCATCAGGCCAAGGAAGTGTGGCGCCACTGTTTTGCTCACCACACACAAAAGCGCATTGAGATATTATGGGTTAGAGAAGGCTATAAGAAAAGAAATTTAGAGTATTTTAGTGCTAATATTGGAACCACAAACTGTGTGCACCAGTAAAAATCCACTTTATCAGCATCATACGCATTTTCTCTTTTTTGTTGTGTAAGAGGCCAAAGGGACTTTAGTGAATAAATAAAAATATAAATCTGCCTCTGACGAGAAAAGTGGGGATCATTTCAGGCAAAACAACAGACAGTATTTACATTAGCAGGGTTACTAAAAATTTGAGTTCTGGGTGCGTGGGCGCATTCATCTTAAAAAGAAAGGAACACTATCAGAAGCCTAGATATTCTGTTGTGTTTGGCATTTTTGTTTCTCTTTTTTTATGTTTATCCAATGCTCTTCATTTTGCATCTGTGCAGGCTGGATGCTTGATGCTGGATCACGTCCCTCCTTCAAAGAACTGGCCGAAGAGTTTGCCAAAATGGCCCGCGATCCAGGGCGTTACCTGGTCGTTCCCGGTGACAAGTTGATGCGCCTACCAAGCTACACTCCACAGGATGAGAAAGAACTCATCCGGAAACCTGAGCATGCCCATGGAAGGTTCGGAGGTCATCATGGATGCTGAGGAGTACCTACAGCCTAGGGCTCAGCCGAGCATGATCGTAGGTGCCGAGCAGGCTCCACCACCTACACCAATCAAGGTAACTGGGCAGTTTATCTGGGGAATTAACTCATTTGAGGATGTACTTTATTTGACAATCGAGCCATTAAGCTTTCGCGCGGTCAGTGAATTCGTGCAGTTTAGTTGAGCTGAGCATGGGATAGAGAGAAAAGCGCAATAGCTCTTGTTGCCCTGTACATGGCCTTTCCTGTGATGCTGTCTGCATTTAATAGTCCAAGATATGAGCTGCAAAAGCAGTGCTTGTCATATTGGGCACGAATGGAATGTAATGCACTGGTGATGTTTTACTATGTCAGGCAGATGTGCCATTGTTGTGTACAGGATGAACATAATGAGACTGCCTTGAGCATAACAGCACAGCTTGCACAATACATGCCTTTGTCGGCAATAAAAGGTCTGATCAGTTCACTGTTGAACTCTTAGCTGAACAGACTCTGCTTCAAAGTCTGGAGCCCACTGGCAACCTGTGTCTACAACGAATAGCTACTTATAGACACATTTGCCTAAGCTGTAGCAATCGCAAGTTGTAGTTACCCTGGCAAGGGACTAGCTTGTAGTTACCCTGGCAAGGGACTAGGTATTGTATTGGAAGTACTAATCGCTCTATGGCTGCACCTTTTCGAGGTGGCACCACTCAGTGAACTGAGAGAGCTTGAAAGTCTGCTTTTGTTCTTTTGACACAGAGATTTAAATTAGTTTACCTAGTTTGACAGGTTGTGTGGTATAACAAATATAAAAGGAAGAGCATGCCACTAGTGTGTTTGAAATGATGCAAGTTGGTCCTTCATGTTCAGTGTTGAGTTTACATGCCTATGTAGTGTAATTGTTGCCAAAGAAAATGCACAAGACAAAGGGGTCGAGAATGGCGCACAACTGTAGGACTATACTTTTGTTGCCTTATGTAAAATTGTTGTTTTATTAATTTGATATTGTGTAAGACATCCACTTACATAAATGTGACCTTTAGATAAATATGTTCACAATGTCCATAATTGCTTTCCTGCTCCCCTTTTATCATCTTATTTCTATTTTATTGTTAGTTCTCTTCGCCTGTGTCTGTTTGGTGCCCAATATTTTATGGCACACCTGAACAAGCTAGATAAAAGTCTCTCTTTCTTCTAACACGCCAACCTCGGTGCACAGAAATTCATGGATGACCGTGGATTCGAGGAGGATCCGACTGTTGGAGTTCCAAACCCAGTGGAGTTCTTCCCTGCCAACATGGTTCCACATCCTGACATGAATGGGGGCTGCCATGCCAATGGTATGAACCCTCGGTGCCGAGAAAACAGCCGTCAACCAGCGCTACTGCTCTGACCCGCTAAAGCTTCTTGGAAAAGATGCCGGTGCGTCTCTGCTTCCTAATTTTCCCAAACATGCCTGCTCTGCCTTGCTTGCTTTAATAACCATGTGTGCCGAGTTAATGTTTACACTAATAGTGCTGCCTCTTGTTTGCGAGATATTGCTGATGCTTGCAGTTTTCTTGTAGTACCGTGACTGCCGTCAGCTATCTATGCAGTATTGCCTCAGCACATAATTTATGTGTATCTAAAATGCTACTAATACATTTTGTGCATCTTGTTCTCAATTTACCCACGAGTTAAAGTGTACACCTTCTCTGCTGTATGGCAGGGCAATTTCTGCCTGGAATTGTCTGGAATGTGTAGTCTACACATTTCAGGCAAGCTTGCAAGGGTGCCATTTGAATCTCTTTAGGTTAGCTATAGTGCTAAAGTGCTTGGCTGAAACACTTTTTTCCCCCATACATTTAGGACGTATTGCAGGCTCGCATGACTTTTGTTTGGGAATCTTATTTTTGCATGCATATGTGCACTGTTTGTCTAGAATCTGTCTAGGCTAATGTTAGTGTCTATTGGTTAACCAGTTTCTAATGTGTGGCACTATATAAGGATAAAGGCAGCTTTCAAGTGCAGCTTATTTATTGTTCACTGCAAATGCTGCTTGGCTCATCTGTATGACATTCCTTTTCGGTCAGTTTTACATCTCTTAACATAAGATGTGACGTTAAAGGTCTTTATAAATACTGATATAGTATGCACCGATGTACTAAAGTTTTTATTTGTAAGCGCACAACCTGGCAAACTATTCTCTTGTTCAAGGGAATGCATAACTTCAGTTGCTCACGTATTTCAATCTTTGCTGACCTGTATTGCAGAGGAAGGAGATGATGACGCCTTCATGCACAATGCGGCGACGCTTCCCAAGGGAACCAAGCCAAGTGACATGCGCATGTCCCTGCCTGTGGATGAGGACGACTACCTGATGCCTTCACCACGATCCAAGGGCCTCTCCACCACCTACATGGACTTGATTGGGGACAGTCGTTACTCAAACGGTGAGTGTTTTCCGCGACCGTAGAAAAACTGACATGCTCTTAGAGATTCTGTGGTGGCCAACCTACAAGTGGGAGCACACGCACTATGGTCAGGTGTTGCTTATCGAACCTGCCAGAGAGAGGGAGAGAGTAAACATCTATTTCAGGGATCAGTGGGAAAGTGTTCTTTCATCGTTCATGCTTGTGGGCTCTATGTCAAAAGTATGCGGTGAGCCCTGCGTGAAATCGCATCGGTATTTTCAGTCATGCATAGCTGGCTTGACTGTTCAATATCTTTAGTGTCGTCCTTGTAAAATGCTGCTGCTGTAGACTGCTACAATAGACTCTAGTTAAACGAAACATGAAGGGACCAAAAAAATGTGTTCCACTTAAATGGTGTTCCATCTACAGAGCATAGAAAAGGGGTGCTGATTTCATATAGAAGACCAATCATAATACAGTGGCAGTTGTTCCATTTAATCAACAGTTCCATTGACAGTCTATGTACTGCACTTTTGTCTGTGCGGTGACTGGTGCTTGATAGCAGCCCAGTGGCAATTGCGAACTCTGGTTGCTGTATTACTTTAAGCTGAGCACAGCAGGAGAGTTAATGAGTGAGTCGATGTTAGGAGAGTTCAGCTGTCGTTGGAGAAGCTAAACTTTCTCCGAAAAAAACTACCATTGTGCAATTTGCCTTGTCAAACTATTGCAGGTTGCTTGTTGTGAATCAAGTGTTTTGCATAACGGCAAAATTTTTATTTCAAGTCTCGCCTTGTTTTCAAGGTCTCTTTTTACTCATCTTGAGATGGTTGTGCATAATCACAAAAACTTTCTTTGGAAGCTCAGCATGTTTTTATCAACTTTTCTGACTTAATATGCAGTTCTGACAACATTAATGTGGTGCATTATAGGTTTTGCTGGCTTCTTGTAAAGTTTTGGCCTGTTTACCAGTTTAAGCTTTATTTTTTAATAGTACGAGTGATCTTTTGTAATTGTTGGGTAGTATCTTCTACATAAAAGGCCACCACTTCAGCAGTTTAATTGGTGTTGCCATGTCTTTCACATTTTATATACCGTATTTTGTCGCGTAACGAAACCACTTTTTTTTTTTCTGGAAATTTGCGCCTATTTGGGGAAAGGGTTCATTGCGCGGGAAACAAAAAAGTCACGGGAGTTACAACAGCAAAAATTTTGCGTGACGGCTTTGCTTGTTTAGTTCCATAAAATGTGCGACAAATCTTTTTTGTAGCCTGAAGCTCTTTTTGTTTCTCTCGTAACGAAAGCGCACAGATCAACGTCGAAGTGTCGTCCAGCCGCTCGGTTCAATTGCTCCAACGCTTGCTGTTTGTAACCAGCCGTGTAGCTAGCGTACAAGCCCAACGTGCCCTGCGCAGCAGGTGTCCCAACTAAGTTCACAACGACAAACCCGACAACAAAAATGTGGCAGTTTCGCCGCAAGGGCGAAGCAATGAATACGATAGCAACAACTTAGAATGTATCGCTGAGAACGGCTAGAAGATCAAAACGTGCAGCACGCTGTTCACGCACACATGACGCACGAAACAACACACACAGGACGAGAGCGAACCAACAACGTTTACGGCTCGACACATAGCGCACTGTTTAAACAAAAACGACGCACTAAACGTAATCACAGGTACAGAAATGAGCGCGAAATAACAAGTAACAAGTGCCCCAGTTGTTACTTCACTGTGTTTAAAAAGCAGATTTTTTTTTGCAAACGGCGCCTGTCCAGCGAGTGAAGCCGATCAAAGTGGAAGGCCCGCGATTCTCCCCAACCTCCTCACCCAGAGATAAGCATCTAGATAAGCATCTACAGCCCCCCCCCCCCCCCTTTCATACGCGGGGCAAAGTACGTGTGGGGGTTGCGTGCTTCGGCACATCGTGACTGAGCTGGGTGCCCTGCGAGGGCGGCTTTTTTTCTTGAGTTATCATATATATAGATACATATACATATACGTTGGCGGCAAAACCCAGCCGAGAGTATCCATATAATTGCTATCGCAATAAAACGCAGCGCTGGATGGTGGCGCACAATTGTTGCGGGTGCACAGCGCCCGCCGTCCGCGCGATGGGTGCAGTTACGTTTTGCATGGCCTTCCAGATAGCGAGTGCACGGCCTGCGTCTACAGTGCGGCGTGTGTACTGCGCGCGCGTCAGTTTGAAGGCCATGCGCTTTGTTTTTGTGCTGCTGTGCTTGCGTGGCGCTCTGTTGTAAAAGGCGTAGGATAGCGTGGCTCAGGAGTACTTACGGGGAATACTGGACTCGCTAGGTGCGGAAGATGGAGTAACTAATCTTTTAAAGTATATCTATAAAAGTAACAAGGTAGCTATAAAATGGGAAAAACAAGTATCCAAGCCCACAGATAAAAACGAGGGGGGAAGGGGGGCTTAGGCAGGGGTGTCGTCTGTCACCCTTGTTATTCATGATGTACCTACAAGGATTAGAGGACAAATTAGAGGGAAGTAGACTGGGCTTTAACCTCTCTTTCGTCAAACAAGGGAAACTCATTGAACAGGGACTACCAGCATTGATGTAAGCAGATGATATAGTACTAATGGCCGACAACAAGGAAGATTCGCGGAGATTTGTGGACATCTGCGGTAATGAGGGAGATAGGTTAGATTTCATATTCAGTAAGGAAAAATCAGCAGTCATGATTTTTAATGATAATGAAGGTAGTGAACTTGGAATACAGGAGGTCATGCTAGAGATAACAGATAAATACAAATACCTGGGTGTATAGATAATGAATAGGACCAGTACCTAAGGGAACACGAAATATACGTAACGACTAAAGGTCATGGGAATGCAGTGGTAATGAAAAGTAGGGCACTCTGGAGTTACCATAGGTATGATGTTGTGAGAGGAATATGGAAAGGGGTCATGGTTCCTGGGCTGACGTTCGGCAATGCGGTCTTGTGCATGAGATCAGAAGTTCAAGCAAGATTAGAAATTAAGCAACGTGGAATAGGTAGGCTTGCTTTAGGAGCTCACAGGAATACACCAAATCAGAGAGTACAAGGTGATATGGGATGAACATCATTTGAGGGCAGGGAAGCTAGCAGCAAGATAAAATTTGAGAAGCGATTGAGAGAAATGAGGGAAGAGCGTTGGGCTAGGAAGGTTTTCAGCTGCTTGTACATGAGGAATGTCGATACAAAATGGAGGAAGCAAACCGGAAAATTGACCAGTAAATACTTAGAAAAGAGCAGGGAGCCAAACTAAAAATAACTATCGGTTAAGAAAAAGGTGAAGGAAACTGAGACCGACATGTGGTGAATTGGCATGATTAAGAAGTCTGCACTAGAGATATATCGAACTTTTAAGCAAGAAATTGCCAAGGAAAGGATCTATGATAATGCTCGGTATAGTTCTCTACTATTCGAGGCCAGGACAGGAGTATTGCGAACCAAAACTTATCGGGCGAAATACGAAGGGCTAGACACGGTATGCAGTTCGTGTGGAGAGGAAGAGGAAACGGCAGAACACCTGATAATGTTCTGTAAAGGGCTTCTCCATACAGTTCAGGATTATGGCGCAGAGTTCTTCAAAGCACTGCAGTTTAGGGACAGCGTGCGCAAAATAGACTTTATGCAGGTAAAAATAACTAGGAGGTTATCCGATTGGTGGTTAAAATCAAGGCACGAGTTAAAATTCAATTCTTAACTGCAAAGTACCAGTCCTCAGCTTCACTATTTAAAGGGAAAAAAAAAAAGATAAATCTAGTTGTTGGTTCACTAAGGATTACGGCTAGGCTGTGTTAGCCGCCGCTCGGTCTAAAGGGTACAGCCATATCAATCCATCCATCCATCGCGATTTTCAAATTTTGATTGACGTCATGCGCGCTCCCACTGCTCACAAATGTTTAGCATGGTTGCAAAACTATGTTTGGACTTTTATTGCGTTGTTATTTTGTGATATAACTGCTTGTTTCAATCATCAACGACGCTGGCTATGATACCGAAATAAATTTAACAGATACAATACAAAACAGCTTTTTTCCTCTTTTTTTCAAGGTTTTTTTCAATGCAAAGGTGGGGGTGGGTTCATTATGCGAGTGGGTTCATTACTCGAGTAAATACGGTATTTTCTTTGCTGCAGAGCTGGGTACTGTCATTTAATGACCTCCTGCACTTTCTATAACTTGCTCCAGGCACAAATATTGTTATGTGTGTGATACGTACTAATTGGTTCTACTTTTGGGATCCCTGCCATATTTTTTGCATTTCTAAATAGTATGAAAGTGCATGCATTGTAAATCCTACCTAGACAGTGTGCGGGCCCCAGGGAATCAGTTTTTATGAAGCTCATGTAGTGTTATGATAACCTCATTGACCAAATCTACTGCGATTGTTGTAATGGATGACACCTTTAAGTTACATGCATAACAATCTCTTTGAAAGTTGAGTATTTCAATATAATGGAATCTGACTGTACAGCCCAAAGAAAATTATCATTCATGCACAACACAACAAAGAAAAGAGTGGAGACTTTTTATTATGATAGGCGAACCGTACTGTATTTAAAAATCTACAGAAAAATAGTATTTCAGATCAGCCATTGTTTATTTTTTAAATATGCTTTTATGCCCACAGCCCAACCACCCTGCTTTATTCCTTTTTGCACGGCCACCTTTACGTTTCATTGAAAATGCTACTCTCGATATTAGGTGTTTGGGGAGATTTAAGTCTGAAAAATACCGCTCATAACTTTCTCCTGTCTTGCATTTTGCAGGTGTTGATGGTCTTGATCCTCGTCTTCAAGGCTACGGAGGCTTCATGCCCGACTTTGTTCCTCCCAACGGCCAGGCACCACTGCAGGGCGTCGACAACATTGAGTACCACCTCATGAACAACCGAAACGGGCCGGCTCATCCGTTGGCAATGCAAATGCCTCGTGACCCAGGTCCCCAGTACGTCAATACCTGCCCCTTAGGTTCTCCGAACACGGTGGTTCCTCCTCAGCAGCCCGGTGTGGTGACTCGCAAACAGCACAGTTCCGATGAGGACACCGACGACCACGAGTATTACAATGACTACGACAGGCTCAAGCGTGAACTGCAGCCGCTCAACCACCGTAGCCGGAGTGAAACGACGGTTTAGTGACAATGCTTCAAGCGGTGTGCGGGACAGAAACTTGTCGCTGCAGTCGTCTCCAGTTGTAGCCAGGCTGGCTGTGGGAAAGCTGCCGCGCCTCCTTGCATGTTGAGGAGGTAGACTCGGTGAAGTCAAGGTGCCGGTGCTGGTATGACATGCAGACAACAACCAAAGTTGATGCACGGAGGGCAGCTGAGAATTTGCTAGTTCAAATATGGCTTCACCATTATTTAACTTCACATATGTAGTCTATGTCGCAGGCAAAATTTGGAATGTGCATACCTCTTTTGTCAAGACTTTGTATCTCTTATGATATTCATTGCAGCCTAGTTTGAATCATGAGAAAAAGAATAGTAGCTTAGAGAGTCATTATCAATTAAATTTGAGAATTAACTCAAATCATTGTTACCAAAACACTATGACATTTATCACCAAGTGGCAGAGAGCAACTTCACCATTCTTCTAAAAGAAGTCTTTTGAAACTGCAGCTGTCAGTAGAACACGGAAAAAAATCTTCATGCGAAGCATTGAGTGATCTCAGTCGTGTCTCCTGACAAAAGGTTTTCCATTTGAAAGCAGCCAGCAGTGCACAATGAGGGGTTCTGCATTCGGGTGAACTTCTTGCATTTTGTTTCGACGCTAGCACCTTTCGTTGCCTCCTGCTTCTGGTCACGTCAAGTCACATCGTCGAGGCTTCAGTAGTGAATACAGACTGTGACCGGTGTCGACTGTGGGTTATATCAACCGAAGACTCTGGAGAGGCAAACGAAGACGCGTCACTGTGGGACCAGTTATCATTTCCAGGAACTTGATATTTCCCATGTGCTATTTATTTTCGTGGAACACACACGAGACTGTGAAAATGGAGCCAGGTGTCTTCATTCAGGACAGTGCTTCCTTTCGAAAAGGTCACTAAAGTTCAGTGCAGTTTGATGTACATAGTATACATAACGCTCCTGTTTTTTTTTTTTTTCTGTTTCTTGGAAGTGCATATTTTTTTTTTTTTGTGAGCTGTGCCCAAAACATTGCCACTGTAGTCTTTTATGTGCCCCCCCTTTTTTTGCGTCAACTGCCACATTGTGCTACTAAGGAGAGCCGTTGTGCCTACTGCCATCCTGAAATTACTGAACTGTCTTTCTCGTTCCTTGTGGCTTGATTAGCGTATTGATGTCTTCCGTGCCTAACGACATCAGCGGGTGCATGTAATGCGTAAGCTTTCAGTATTACAACTCATCCGAGTGCCATAAGACATTGCTATCACTTCACTGACTCGTGCAACAATAATTGGTTGGCTCATCGGTTTCGTATCAACGTGAAGATAGCTTTTTATGTGTTGTCAAGTTTTTATGAGTACATGTTTGGCAAGGCCTTAGTAGAGCCTGCATTTACAAGCACTTTAAATATCTGTGCAGAAAGTATGCGTGCATGTGTGCAAATATTGGTCTCTATTGGGGTCAAATTGAAAATGATGTCCTTGCATGCACTATTGAAAACTCTAGCAGGGTTTGGTTTTTATTTACTTTCATGGAACATACCTGGTGATTACTACTCAAGCAGCTAAAGAGCATGCTTGAATCACTCCACTGGTTGTGAACGTCTGTAAAGAGTGCAGAGGGCGACTCATTTTTACTTTTCAGTTACACTTAATACAGTCATGGTACACTTTAAAAATCTGAGATTGTGTTAAATTGTGCCTTTTTTTTTGTTCTATACACACACACATCTTTAAAACTCCTGTTGCATGTGATGCTGAAATTGTTGCCAGAGTTTTACAAATAATGGCTCCTGCAAGCAAAGGAGCATAATTGTTGCTTTAAGACTTTCTTTTTTTATGCTGAATCATTCCAAGTAAAGTACAACAGAATAGGGCGAATTTCTAGGAGGGACCAAAATCATTTCAGCACAGCATTCTTGTCGGCAGCAAGAGGTCAATGCTATCGCCGTCAGTTTTCCTTTAAGGGGCAAACTAAATTCATTGTAACCTAGACTCATGCCCCACTCTGCCTCATGTTCATTGTAACAGCATTTGACTTGCCACAATAATTTTTTTATGTTTACCTGTATATACGTACATTTTAAAGCTTCTTAACCAGCTTCAACAGAACAGCTCTACCGAATAAGCTCACCTCATTAGGCCCAGCTAAGCTGTACGTTTCTGCATGTCATGTATGTATTGTACAAAGTGTGTTTTACCAATGCGTGTCAACTTCAAGTTTTACATAGTCCTGTTAGGAGCAGTTAAGGGCAAATTCCTAGTGTGACTGCTCCACACGTGGGGTACCTCTGAAGAGTGGAAATTTTTAAAGATGAGAGTTGTATTTGCTATATGGTACATTAATAAAATTACTTGTCCAATAAATGGCTTCTGTTATGTATGTATTGTTATATATTGAAATGACTGTGTTCTTACCTAGAATAATGCAGAAACGAGAGTGCAGTGTCGTCGCTAAGCACAATGTCACTCGTGCATTCAAGAGGGGTGGCTTTCTTCCATGCATTGTGCGCAATCTGCCCTTTTTTTATTTTTTTCTGCTGCTGTTTCAGTGGGTGGTCTTTGCCAAACAATCCGCGACAGCTGGGATCGCTAGAACAAAAAGCCTTCAAGATCGATAAGTATGCGGGGACAACTACAGTGACTATTTAGGGAAACTGTGCATACTCCAGCATGCTCCATGGCACAGTTAAAAGAAATCGCTGATAGTTACCATACAGCCTAATGCGACTTACAAGCACAGCTTCGTGTTGGGCCAAAGTTAACTGTAACTGTGTTGTAACTTTTCTCTTTCCGCAAGATATAAACTATGCCATAAATCATAACTTTTGTGGAGTAGGGAACGCCAGCAACACCATTATTCGTCTTTCTGCGGAAGGGAGCCGCTACACATCTGTAACGTATTATGGGCACTCTGTTCGTGCTGTGTGTGGCTAATGACTATGAAGAACTGAACAATTTGCAGTAAGTGGGAAGCATTAAACCGCACACTCGTCGTGCAATTAGCATTATGCAATGACATAGTTGTTGTACTCTGACATGCTATATTATTACATAGGTTAACACGCTTACCTGCCCTACGAGATGCCTTCATCAGGTCGTTTTGCACATGAGTTTCAAGCAGCTGCCTGGCTTGGACAAAAACAAAGGAAGAAAAGCAGCTGCCACCAGAGGGACCGGTTTCAAATTTCATTCACTGCAGGGTATTGTTTTCTCACCTTATGCTGACCTCTGGATTCTCTTCCAGGAAGGTCAGAAGTCTGCAATCTGTGGATTAAAGTTCTCTAAATATAAACTGAAGGGCCATCAACTGCACTTCCTCGCCTCTGGGTAATCCCGCATCTTCAAAAAAATTTTGCATTTTTCCATTTTTAGAGGTAATAACTTTACCCCTTGTCACGTACTTTTGCTTCGCTGATGAGATTAAGGGAAGGTTTATTGTTTTACTGAGCAGTAATCGAGATCTAGGGGTCGACGTCCAGTGCACTGGAAGGGTACTCTTGATGACACAAAAGTAAAAGGAATCGAGTATAACAGTGTTTCGGTGTGTGCAAGCATTTGTATGGCGACCGAACGAGAAACTGGCGTATTCGTTTACCCGTCCCCCGCTCATGCAATACGATTTTCTATTAAAAATACCTGTATAAGGCAAAATAACTTTTCCTCATGGTGCCGTGTTTTTAGCCTAAGACCTCCCGCTATGAAACCATGCATTTAATTTACAGGTATTAACACATGGGCTTACGAAAGGTCAATGTGAACCTTATTTTTTTCTTACTGGTAATACAAGCAAATAGAACGTTTTTAAATTGTAAGAACTTTTATGCTGACCAGTGGCGTACCAATTATTTCTAGAGTGGGGGCAGGGGGGGGGGGGCAAGTCGACCTCACTTGTCAGACGGGATATATATATGGAAAATCATCAAAGCTGCAATGTCGGCAAATTTTCACTATGTTGTAATGTAGCCTAGTAACAATTTCATTCTCCCGTAGGAACATATTTGAGTAATTACTGTAGTGGTGGAAAACTACACCTTGTTCGTTTCCACAGCGTGCAGCGAAGAGTGACCACTGTCAAAAGTGGGGGGATCAGCCCCCCCCCCCCCATTTTTTCTCAGTGGGGGGGGCTTGCACCCCCTCGTTCTAGCGAGCGCGCTGAAAGCCACGCAGGGAAGTGGATGACAAGAGGGAAAGAAGATGCGTTCCTTCGGTTTCTCAGTACGCCGAATTATTTCGAGCGTTTTTTTTATTTTTTTTATTTTAACGCGCACCTTACTTTCATTGCGACAGTGTGCGCTAGAGTCGCTGTATATGCTACCTTTAGGTAGCAGATTAGCGCAATTGTTTTCCAACGCCGCTGCCCCGCCGCGGTGGTCTAGTGGCTAAGGTACTCGGCTGCTGACCCGCAGGTCGCGGGTTCGATTCCCGGCTGCGGCGGCTGCATTTCCGATGGAGGCGGAAATGTTGTAGGCCCGTGTACTCAGATTTGGGTGCACGTTAAAGAACCCCAGGTGGTCAAAATTTCCGGAGCCCTCCACTACGGCGTCTCTCATAATCAAATGGTGGTTTTGGGACGTTAAACCCCACAAATCAATCAATCAATCCAACGCCGCTAGCAATCATGCACTGCGGAGAAGGTGTAACGTGATCTTCGCTATAAAGTAACAACTGCGTGAAACAAAATGGGATTTCTTGGTGGTGATGCACTCCGACCCAGTTCCCCAGGCACCGAAGGCGTGTGTCTTACCTTCTGGACTCGTCCTTCCATTCGCATTATGGTATTGCATCTCAATTGTACGAATTGTTTATACCGGCGATAGAAACAAATGTAAAGGGATATCACTTTCCATAATGCTCCGTGTAAACATTTCGTGACTGTGGAAATATGGCCCTCCTTTTTACAAGATGTAAAGCCGACATGGGGTATATTGTGCACATTACGAGTAAACTTCGCCTTTGTGAAAGCTCAATATCAAACACGCGTTTAGGTGATCGTGGGTTGCGCCGACCATCGGACCGTTAAGACGCTTACGACCGTTACCGAAAGAAAGATGCGAAAGTCGACATTCCGTTGCAGGCCGGCAACAGCGCTCTAAAAAAGGCTGCAAGCATAGCGTTTTCGGCAGTACATACACCACGATTACGTATATCCACCAAGGGTTTTTATTTCTCTCTGAACGCACACTTCCCCTCAGCTCGAGAGTGGATCGCGAATGCGCATCCGCATGATCTTTACTATGACACCATGGCGGCTTGACCAATGACGACACCGGCTTAATCCGTTGTCCACATAATTTACAATGAAACATCCAGTGCGCTACTTTAAAAAATTACCACACAATGCCTTAATTAGGCAATGAATTAAGTTATAAAACCGCATGGGCGTTGGCAGGGGGGGGGGGGTGCGAAGGGGGCACTTGTTTTTCTCAAGCCACGCCACCACTGCAGCATCTCCACGATGCAACACGGGTTCGCCCCACTCGAGACCAAACGCTGCCGACGTCCATGTGAAACCGGGAAGCAGACGTCCTGTAAAACCTAATGATCCGTGGTGGCAGGAATACGTATTCAACAACATTGACGTTCTCAGTAAATTGCGATGACTCCCCTTCTCCTCCCTGCCTAGTCATGCACACTGTGCATATCATATGGGGGTGGGCTTACCTTTAAGGCCTTCACCAAGTGGATATATTCATAGATGACGTCACACCATCAAGCTATTGGTGACATAGGCAACGTGGGCTTTTGTACCAGTTGCTATGTTTGATTCACACACGGGGTCACGCGACGACGCCCTTAAAGGAACCCTGCGACACTTTTTCAAGTAATCGTTTGATGGCTTTATCAAAATAGCATATTGCCTCACAAATCGACCGGCGCAAATATTTTTGGAATGCGTCGGGTATGGTAGTGGTTATAAGATGAGAAAAGGCACCTAATTTCTGCAGCCCGGTCGGGAGCACAGCGCAGTGCCTAGCGTCGGGTGTGGGCGGAGTTACATACATTTGCCGCACGCTCCTCTCTCTTTCCGTTCCAGCGAGCGCGCTGAGAGCCACTCAGGGAAGTGGATGACAAGAGGGAAAGAAGATGCGTTCCTTCGTCTCCTCAGCACGCCGGATTATTTCGAGCGTTTTCTTTTAATTTTTTTTTTCTTTTAACGCGCACCTTACTTTCATTGTGACAGTGTGCGCTAGAGTCACTGTATATGCTACCTTTAGGTAGCAGATTAGCGCAATTGTTTTCCGACGCCGCTAGCAATCATGCACTGCGGAGAAGCTGGTGCACAGGCCGCACCATCGAAAACGGTTGCCATCCGCCTGTAATGTATCAAGCACCGTCGTGCGCTGTGTAGCTCGTTAGCTACGTACTGGCGATTTTATTTGCTTTAGATTCGTGTCCTTAAGCTTCGACAATTTGCGTGAACACGGCGCGAACAATGTTGTAGGCTTAGTGGGGTGCTCCTTAAATCTCGGAGGACCAATATTTTGTGTTGGTGAGTTGTTGCTTATCTTCCTTAGCTGGCACAACTTGAGCATGTGGTAGTGGCACTGCATGCTATTCGGCACTACGCTACACCTTCGCGCGTTGCGTTACCGGAGAGACTAAAAACGCCTTTGAACTCCCATGGCACAGTCCCGAAAGCAGGCGTTTCTTCTTTCTTCGCCAGTCGTTGATACGCCAGGCACGTCGGCTGGCACTCGGCGACACGCTTTGTCGATCAGCGACAGGCTTAAGCTAGTCGCCTACAGAAACATGGTGTGGCTTCGCCGCGCAACTATGGTTGCTAACCAGGCAAGATATGGTGGTCCTATGCGCTACTCTGCTTCCGTAGGGAGCATATACAGTTACTCTAGCAGCGTCAGTCACTCTGTACCCTCTTTCCAGCTAAATGTTCTCCTGATAGGTTGGTTTCACGGCAATACGCGTCAAAGACCACTCGAAAAAGTTGAAAACTTCATCAAAGTAGTATAAGGCCCAAATTTTGTCTGACGTCACACAATGCAGCGACAATTCCTCTGTGCCATCTTTTAAGCTAAGTATACCCCTGATAAGTTGGCTTCACCGCAATAGACACCGAAACCCACTCAAAAAGTTGAGGGATTTATCACCCATGATAAGGCTCAACTTTTGTCTGACGTCACACACTGCAGCGATGGTGACTATGTGCCCTCTTGTGAGCTAATTATACATCACATAGGTTGACTTCACCACAATACAAGTCCAAAACTTGTCGAAAAAGTTGAAGGCTTTATCACCCATGATAAGGCTCAACCTTTCTTTGACGTCACAGACTGCAGCGACGGTCAGTCTGTGCCATCTTCCAAGCTAAATATCCCCCTGATGGGTTGGCTTCACTGCAACACTTG